CTTTTTTTAAAAAAAAGATCACATGTATGGAGACTCACTAGATTCCTAGGCAGAAATACTGCTATTTTTTTTTACTTAGGTTCATGTAGGACTTCAGTCTTGTAAGAAAATGATTGTCATTATTTGATCATTTATCAGTTACCTGTTCCTTTCCCAGGTTCCAGAGTTCCAAGTCTGGAAAGATCTACCTCTACAGAGACGTAAGACTTCTGTTTTCCCGAAAATCTATGGAAGTGGACAGTGGCGCTGCATACGAACTCAAATCTTACACTGAATCTCCAATGAATCCTCAGTTTTCACCCCGGTGTTAGCAAAACACAACCGTGAAACTATTTCCTCAATGACCAGATTATTATTCAAGACAAAACAATAAAATATCCTGTGCAAAACCTGAATCACGGAGGTAGTGAGAAGGATGGTCAGATGGGAGTCAGAACCTCTTGGACCAATTCAGAAAAGTTTTTAGAATGAGCTTTGTGTATTCTGAATAGACTGGAACACACTTAGTCGTAACCTTTTTTATACTCGTTTTAAACCACTTCATTGGATGTGTTGCAATAGCAGAGTCCCAAATTAGTTTAGTGTTTACACTTTATTTTTTATTTTTTTGGGCTATTTAATATTTAATGTTCCTTTCACTTAAGTGATGTTTGTCTTTACTGTTCTAATGTAGCACAAATCCGATGTAAAATCATACTACATATTTTTGACATTAATATTGAAATCTTGAAATATATACAGAACCTTTACTTTGATGCGTGATGTGTTTTTCAGTGACTCAACGCGCTTAGAATAAAGATGGGATTTTTGAACTTCTGTTATATTATACTATGCAGAGGATGTGGGAGGATTGTGTGTGTCTTTTCCATTGCTCATTTCTTTCCATGCTTAATTTCCATGATGAACACAAAATCATACTACCAAAAGAAAAAAATGTTTTGATTACTCGTGGTTAAGTCGACTCATAATTAGCACTTCCTTTCCTCTTGAAAGGTTTCTCCTCAAGCATTTCACTTTATCCTAATAGATACCCCACATTTGACATTACACCGCTGTCCCATGCCTGACTTTCTCAGACTACAGGGTTTTTTATTTTATTTTTTAAGATGTACTGTGAAAACAAAGTCATATTTATATTGCAAATATATGTGAAAGCAGCTATATTTGAATTCTGGCTTTATTTTGAGATAGTCTTTGTGCTCAATGGATGGAGGGCCACCTCCCCTTTTTATGTTCCACGGTTCTAGAAAGTGAATTCTTTTATTGCAGTATGAAATTGCAAAAGAACTGCCCATGCCATGTGTTAGTACAGCTGTTGTAATGGAAGAATACTCTTTGGAGCTGTGTTTCTCAACCGTAGCAACTTGGAAGAGGTGAACTTCAACTCCCAGAATTTGCTAGTCAGCCTAGGGAATTCTGGGAGTTGAAGTTCACACATCTTCCAAGTTGCCAAAGTTTGTTTGTTTATTTTATTTTATTTAGTTTGTCAAACATATAAAAGATAACAGGTATTATTCGTGTAAACATAAATATGAACACAGTA